CATAATCAGCAATCTACCATAACATGATCCAGGCATTTTTACAGCCTTTGTATTAGGTTTCCAGCACTGATGTGGTGAACTCTAGTTAAATCAGGCTTGTCTACACTATCAGTACTTGTGTTTGAGGTGCTCTAATGGGACATTAATCTCAATGGTTGTTACTTAGGATGTTTGAAACTTGCCTAACAATTGAGGAATATAGATTGTAAACAGAAACTATAATTCAGAGAGCTTTAGGATTGGGGTGAAAGATAATATGGGTATGAATTTATATTTCTGCAAGTCAAAGAGAATTATTTCTCTTACCCTGATTAAACCCATGTTACCAGATTTCTTAAGAAATGTACCAGCACTGGGGCCAGAAGGTGGTGTAGTGGTTATGTCATTGGATTCTCACGTGGTTGACCATAGTTCCCGGACCTGGTAGCTTGAAACAGCCAGGCGCGTGTCCATGTGTGCCCAAGATCCCAGTAGAAGAATGGAGGAGAAGAGATTGTAGTGTTGCCATCCCCCCTAGGGGGTGATTTCTCACTTTCCCTCTCACTGTCTCTGTTACTCTCTCTCTCTCTCTCTCTCTCTCTCTCTCTCTCTCTCTCTCTCTCTCTCTCTCTCTCTCTCTCTCTCGCACACACATGCATGTGCCCTAAGGCAAGGGAAAAAACCTCTAAAAAATGTATTAACACTAAAGTATTGTTTTGTAATTTTTCCTGTGTAATTTGAAAGGGTGAGTTCTAGGGATTCATAAATGCAAATATATCACAGTCTTCACCCTCTTTCCTTCTACCATTTTCATATGTGCAAATCTTTTCTAAAAGTTAAATCTAGTAGATGTCAGGCAATACTGGTGTAAAGAGGAATGCCCTATATAAAATTCTCTGAAGTATGTACAAGAATGGGAAGAACTGAATGAACTATATGTCAAATAATTTTCTAAATAATTAATTTCATGAGAGAGAGCAAAAGACAGATAAACACCCTCTATAGGGTCTCAGCTGTGATACTCTCCCCAGACTTCCCATCCAGCCAGGATTACAGGCACACGAGTGCATACCATGCATGCGCAGGTCAGTCTGAAAACTGAATCCCTATGCTCCACATGGCTTCCAGCACTGTAGAGCAGTATCCTATTGCTACATCACTAAGGATGGAGGCATGTGTATGTGAGAGGAAGCCCCCTACAATGGGGCATGATCACCCCACAATTCTTTTTCTCCATTTCTTCATTTTGTGGAGATTTTAGGCATGTACGCACATGTGCCTACAATATTTATTAAACCATGGGGTCTGAGATTTAAACTGTGGTCAGCCATGTGTGATCTGGTTCCCAGTCCAATGTTTAGCCTCTGTGCTATAGGGCCAGCCCTTGAATAATTTTTTAAAAACATTTTCTGAGCCACCAGTAATGTGGTGGTTAAGGTGGCTGGATCCCACATGGCTAAGTGGCTAAGTGCATGGTAAGAGTCCCAGATCTGGTAGCTTGAAAAACACACCTGGCATATGTGCATACATGTTCAAAATCCCAAGAGGATAATGGAGGAGAATGGATTGTGGCATGGCCATCCCCCAGGGGGACTGCTCTCTCATGCTCCCCCCACTCTCTTTCTCTCTGGTGAGTACACACACCTATAGCAAATGTAAAAGCT